TGGTATGCAAGGGAAGAAAAAGTAGGGAAAGAGCGAATATAAAGATAGGAGACGAAAAATTAGAAGAAGTGGCTGATTTTAGATATCTAGGAAGTCAGATAAGTTAGGACGGAAGGAGTAGTAAGCCACTTCTATGCTCGCGAACCGTTAATTTAGAAATTCGAAAAAGATTGTTAAAGGTGTATGTTTGGAGCGCGGCGTTGTACGGGTGTGAAACATGGACAGTGGGCGCGGCAGAAAAGGTTAGAAGCCTTCGAAATGTGGTGTTATAGGCGAATGATGAGGATAACGTGGGTAGAAAACGTTAGAAATGAAGAGGTATTAGAAATAGAAGATAGATAGAGATAGGTTGGTAGGATACCTTCTCAGGCATAAAGGACTAGTTAGAGACATATTAGAGGCAGAAACAGGAGTTAGGAGGGGTAGAGGTAGACCTAGGTTAGATTACTGTTAATTACTAAATAGTTGGGATAGCGGTTCATATCTATGAAAATACAAGTTTATGTCATAATCCGAAAGGTGGTGATTTCTTTTTAATTTTTCTGACACCACTGTATTCTATGTAAAAAAAGTTCCTGAAAAGCATAAAAGTTTAAACTAATGTTACAAACAACCAAGATATGGGCATGTAGCCAAAACTCGAATTTTTCAACTTTTGTTTATAACTCTAAAACAAAAGACAATAGCAATTTTTTGATAAACCAATAAATTTGTCTCAATATAGTTGTCGTATTTTGGCGTTGGGGTTTGAGCTATTTTTTTTTTGTTCTTAAATATAGTTGTTCTATACAAACGTCGAAATTTGCCAACCCTGTTAGGGTTGCCTATCTTGACATTCAGATTCGAGAATAAATTTAATATTCATCCATTGTCAGAGGTGACCTTTCTTTCGTTCGACAGGTCCGTATTAAAAACTTTTGTGATACTGACAATAAATATTAATGTATAAGTATGTATGCTTTTATGATGTATAGGTGAATATTTTGAATGAATTTCACAATGTGTTTAATGTCTGCACATGTCTGTTTTAACTTAATACCAAACATAAACAATAACATTACCCCAAAAAGCAGCTGATTCCGACCTACTGAAGGTGAATTTTTCTACGATATATCGTAATTAATTTTATAATTTTTTATTTTGTTTCAAAAGTCAAAAATGTTATAACATTTTATGCTCCAAATGTCCGTAGGAATCTGTGGTATAAATATGAATTATTATAACTGGGACACCCTATATATTCTATCTAATTTGCCTAGTTTTCACATTTTCCAGAATTACATTTTGGTGTATTTATTGCGTAGGTCTGAGACAAATAGCTTAATGGCAGGTTTATTGTAAAGGTTCTGTTTGAACCTACAACTGTTGTTTTTATAGTAAAAATTACAGGTGTTATAACTTTGCGTTTTCAAAATTAATTTAGGAGATTTTGATAATTTTGTTTGGAGAGGACGGAGACAAAATGTCAGAATTTTTGTAAGGGTGCTCTATACCCTTCTGAAACCAAAACTATGTAATCTCTGACAATAAAAGTTACACGTGTTATAACTTACGTAATGAACGGTAAACGTTGCAGTTTTTGATTATAAAAATTGCAGGAGTAGTAACTTACGTACTTTTCAAAGTTCGGTTGTAGGAAATTAATCATTTAATTGAACTATAAACACGTATGCATAATTTTGAATTTAATGATTTCTTTGCGTCTTAAAATATTTTGGACAATATAGTTAAATAAAGTTTGGCTGATGATGAGTGGGCTAATGAAATTCCATAAAATAATATATTTGTAATTTCAGCAAATGTAGATAGAATGTAAATATACCAAAAAGATTTTTAAAGGTAAACGATACGAAACTTGATTGATATATATATTTTAAAATATACAATCTGTTGACTGGGTTTTAACGTTGTAGTTTTTTTTTAGTTTACGTTAATAAATCTACATTTATTTTTACATAAATATACAATAAAATTAAAGTGCAATTTTTGCGTTATATT